TCTCTCTCTCTCTCTCTCTCTCTCTCTCTCTCTCTCTCTCTCTCTCTCTCTCTCTCTCTGTAATGAGCATAAAAAATCATATACTTCTCCAATGAGGATTATATCCCCTGCAAAAGGCTACATTGATATTTACCTTTACACCGGGGACTTTCTGAGATACTTCTAAAATAATTAGCACATGGGACTTACGTTCAATCGATTCCCTCCTTTTACTACTAAATAAATTTATCGATTATTTCTGGACCCAACAGGTACGTCATAAATACCGAGAGAGTCGTCGGAGAAGTCGCCTTGGACAACTGTCAGTTCGTCGATCCCTGTAAGCGACCCAATACCTGCGAACACGGGGGCAAGTGCTCGGTCAAAGAGAACCGAATCACCTGTGACTGTAAGGACACCGGTTACATCGGAAAGAACTGTCACTTCACTCGTTACCGAAAGACTTGTGAGGAGTTAGCTCTATTGGGCTACACCAAAGACGGAGTCTACAAGATTGATATCGATGGAAATGGAAGATTTCCACCTGCCATCGTCAAGTGCGAGTTTCAGAGCATTGAGGATGCCACCAAGACCATTGTAGAGCACAATCTACCGTCGCAAGTCGACGTACGGTCGAGCACTGAGAAGGACTTCTCTTTCAATATCACGTATCGAGAGTTCACCGCTGAGATGCTGCAGGAGTTGATCTCTCACTCGTTATATTGCAGCCAGCATGTCAAGTATGATTGTTATAAGGCCCCTCTGGAGCTGCACAGCGCTACTTGGTTGCTGGGGTCCAAGGAGACCATTGTGGATTATATTGGGAATGTTAATAGGGGATCCTGTCCCTGCGGAAGTGAGTAGAACCTCACCCAAAAAACAAGCTTTATTTTGAGATTTATGATCTCAAACTGAGACTTTTGAGTGTCGCAAATTGAAATTTTTTAATATTTCAAATTGAAAATCTCAGAAGTTTCAAGTTTGATGAGACTTTTAACAGTTTCAAGATGAGATAAGGGTACTCTATAGTTGAGTGACAACATGATTTCGAGATTAAGTCGACTTCATGTGATTTCAAGATGATCATTTCAGGATTTCAATTGATTTGCTTACACTATTAGAAATTTCAGTCACAATGTCATCTGAATTTCAATGTTGTAAGTTTGAATGCAATTTCAAATGAAACATTCACGAAATTTCTCATGCATCTTGAAAATTCAAGAAAATTGGGTTTTTTATGTTAAAAAATCATTGATTTTTCAATGAAAGCTTGGATTTCTAAACTGATCGTGAAAATTGAACATCACATACAATTCAATTTTCAATGAACTGAAAATTCAGAGAAGTTATTGCCTGAATTTTCAAAATTTTCAAGGTTTTTCAGTATAGTATTGACCTGAAAATCGAGAATTACTTGAATATTCAAGAAATTAACTGATTCGTCAGTAAAGAATTCTACAGAGATTTCATGTAACTTTGTCGTTGTTAAAAATTCCGAGCTTTTTCACTTGAAAGTTCAAGAGTAATTTTCTAACAGTGTAAGACGAAATCAGAATGAATGAAAGAAGAAGAACTGAATACGATTATAGAATGATTTGATTAATACGAAATCACTGATTTCAGAGAACATGAAGTCATTGAAATCACGATACATTTCACTGCGATCTCCGCTTAATTAATTATTGTTATGATCTTCCTTAGTGAATAAAACTTGCGTGAATCCTGATCTGGGCTGCAATTGTGATGTCTCCGCGGGTAAATGGCTATCTGATGAGGGGCATTATGAGAGTCCCGACTCATTGGGGATCACTGGGATGGTTTTTCTGCAGCAGAAGGATCTCGAAGAAGATGCGCAGGGGAGAATTACGCTTGGTCCTCTAGAATGCGTCGAAACCAGTAAGATTACATTTTCGATTACTAGATTTTCGAACACTTTTCCATGTTAATTCTACTAGTAGTTTTGGACAGTTTTACCGCATTTACGTATCAATCATCATTTCTGTGATGAATTTGTGAACCAGGATGAGTGCGTTTGTTTAGGAATCAAAATTTGTTTGCCAAATCACTTTAACAAATTGTTGGGAAGCGATTTACCACAAAAGCGCATTTTCCAAAAAAATGCATTTATCCTAGTTTACCAATTCACCACAGATTTTTGAAGGCTCAAATGTATAGCATCTTAAATCTCAATATTCATCAGAATTTTTAATTATATTTCCGAAGATTTTTCAGTTTGATGAATGGAATAAATATTTCCCCTAGATTTCCATGATTAAACGATTTAGTTCCTTCTTTACAACAAAGGACACTGACAGAAAGGATTAATTATGATTAATAAATAAATTTGATCGGAGACTGGAGTCCACGCACGAAAAAATTTAATAGAAAAACCTATCGAATTCGTTAGAAAATTCTATTGAATTTCTATTAAACTTTCTATTAGTTTTTGGCTGATTCTATTGACATGTTCAATAGAAAACATTCAATAGAAAAAGTCAACAGAATTCGATTTTTCTATATAACTTATTCTTTTCATATATTTTCTATATAATTTGCTCGACTCAAATTTTCTAAGTTTTTTTCATTCTATTTTTTTTTCTTCTCATCAATAAAATCAAACGAAAAGCTTAGAAAATCTGAGTCGAGGAAATTCTACAGAAAATATCTCAATAGAATAAGTTATATAGAAAAATCGAATTCTGTTGACTTTTTCTATTGAATGTTTTCTATTGAACATGTCAATAGAATCAGCCAAAAACTAATAGAAAGTTTAATAGAAATTCAATAGAATTTTCTAACGAATTCGATAGGTTTTTCTATTAAATTTTTTCGTCCGTGTTGATTTGGTCTCGCCAAGTGCGCATTCGTTAATAGCTAAGAAATACACATTTGAGAGTCTTCGTATAACTGGACTTCCATCTTTCTACTGAGCCATTCATTAACTATTAAAAAATACTCATTTGGCCATATTCACTCTACCATTTATTAATAGTTGACGCACCTCGTTGACAATAAATGAATCGTTCTATGAGTGTGAGCCTGCAGTCAACCATTCTCAAGATGGCGTCATAATACCTGGGAATCCCCCATTTATCTCGGATAGCTCCATCCTTTAGCTAGCCGAATAACGCGACCAATCAATTCATCAATTGAAAATAATTCATTGTTTTTATCTAGATACACAAAAATACGTAGTGACATTCACAACATCCCAATCTTACATCGAAGTTCCCGGCTGGAGAAAAGGGGACATTGCTTTCAGTTTCCGAACAACTGGAGAAAAAGCAATTCTCCTCTATCAACCGCCAATCAGGAGCAACTATCCCTCCTTCATGGTCGCCCTGACTTCCGATTACCGATTGACATTCAACTTCACCTTGAACACTGGAACAAATCGCGAGTTAGAAGTGAAAAGCCGAAGAAAATTGAACAATGGAGAGTGGCAGAAGATCTGGATTGATTACAACGACTACCACGTTCGGTTTATGATAAACACAGACTTTCAAATGGTGGATTTACTCCCTGAGGAGGAGTTCGGACCCTTCGAAGGGTCGATGTTCATCGGCGGAGCCACGGCTGAGCATCTCAAGACTTCTGAAGTGAAGCAGGGGCTTATCGGGTGCTTCAGGGGGCTCGTGGTGAATGGGGAGATTTTAGACATTCACAGCTACATGTCTGTTCACTTATCAGAGATTATCAAGGATTGCAAACCCTCTTGTCAGCCCAACAAGTGCCAGAATGGCGCGAGGTGTGTTGAGTTGTGGAGTAATTTCGAATGTGTCTGTGAGAATCGGTGGGCCCATCAAGGCACTTTCTGCGAGACCAGTAAGTCATTTCGATTATTTTTTCGCACAGATTACTTTGAAGACTTATGTATTTCGACGTATATTAGGTCGGAAACTGGTTGCAATAAATGAATTTAACCTCTTTGAGCGGTATCTTTTGAACGTCTGTGAGCTATCACACTTAGTAACGTGGGTGCCCACGTAAATGTACGGGACCTTGACTTCAATATTCCGTTCGAAATCTTTCATAATAAAAAGAGGATGGCCAGAATGTGCCACGCGTTTATTTTCATCTCTTCGCTGTAACAAAAAGGAAACCATTAAGAATATTTGCGTAAAAAATGGTAGTCATTATTCAATGTCCATCCTCCGGATTAATGAGAATTGTATTGGAATAGAGAATTGTACTCTGTTGGCAATGAGAACGAAGAATCGCTTGATCGATCTAAAATATAAATAAAACAGCAAATGATAAAGAATGATTGAAAGAATGGTTAGAGTATGTCTCAGAAAAAAAAAAGTTAATCAGAAGTGGCCCTAAATTATGTCATGAAAAAATTCCTATCACCCTCCAATGCAGAAGCATTTCCCGAAAACTAAAATCAACCTTGAATTCCTTCACTCGATCAGTTCCATCCTCAACGATCTATTCTCTTTTCAGATATAAACACCAAAGCGTTGACGTTCACCTCCCCGGGTGCATTCCTGAAGAAGAACTACTTCGGCACCGGCGACGACGAGGAGAAGCTCCTGCTGAAGAGCATGCTGCTGGAGAACATCCTGATAAACCTGAGGACGTACGACACCCACTCCCTCATCCTCTACGCCAACGATCATCTCAACAACTTCGTTCACCTCTACATATCAAACGGGACGAGCATAGTCTATCTATTTAACGCCGCCAACGAGATCAAGAACATCACCGTCCAGTATCCAGGTGGGCAACCGTTTTCTTCTACGAAGGAACTACTTCTACTACTACCAAGACGAATTCGAAGAGACACTTGAGTGACTGACGTAAGATCTGAACCCATCAAGTGACTCGTCGTGTCGATCATTAAAACGAAACATTTTTCATTGGTTTTTTTCAGGATTCAATACTGGAATATCTGTGCAAATAGCTATTGTCAGGGGAGAGAAGACGACGACACTTCATGTGAATGATCATAATGTCACGGTTGATGCTGTACCAATTTTGTTGGATTCGTATTCCAATAAACCGTGGATCAATTCGGAGAAGGAAGTTTTGGCACCACAGAGACCACCTGCGCCTCCAATGGATTATTTCCAGGTATTATTTTACAGTATTCGATAGACATGTCGCGTAATATGACGACCACGACAGACGTCCCCCAAAAATTTCGAATCAATGCCATCATTTTTTACGTGGATACATCTATGTTTTCATTATAGGTGGGGGGGGGGGGGGGCATTTAAGGAAAAAGTCCTTAGGGTTCCTTATCGGCAGTGACGCCATCTATCCGAATTCTAGAACATTATAGATTTTTTTAGGAAATTCTAGATTTTTTGTGGCGGTTAAGTGCGGGTAGAGAAAATAAAAACTCGTGGTTGAAATGAGAAAGGCGTTTGCATTTAGGACGTAAGATGTGTTTACAATCGAGACACAAATCGGACGGAACATTTTGGTCAGGAATGTGAGGGTTTAAATACCTTTTATTATGGTAGGTTCGAGAATTGTCCAAAAATGTCGTGAGGGACAAGGACAGCTTGATGTTTGTCTCGAACGTAACGATACAGAATATTCGAGACGTACTATATGAATTTCGGAATAGCAAATTCCAGATATTTCTAGAAAAGTTTAGATTTTTCTAGAAAATTCTCCAGTTGTTTTTAGAAATAAATTACAATTTTGAGTGATTCTTAGCGCTGGTCGGAAAAATACCGAAAGTTGGTTATTATTGCACGAAATAGATACAATTTGTGGATCCGTGTTAAAATTCGCAAAGGTTTTGTATGTGACGATTTTGTTGTGAATGAAATATGTTGAACGCTTGATTAGCGATTTTGGTTGCATATAACAATTCAATCGTATCGCGATTATAAAAAACGTCTTATCGTGAGGAGACGGTGCGAAATCCCGGATTCTTCTAATATACCTATATAAATATATACAATGCAGTGATCGGTCGACAATCATTATATTCGTAATATTTTGCAATATTATTAGAATTTGCATCTTCCTATTACTATGGTTTTTTTATCTTAATTAAAATTTGAAACTAATAAAATAATTCATAATTTAAATTTTCTATTAACTATTGAGTAAATAATTCTAAATTTCATAAATGGATCTTTTCGATTAGACATGTAATGGTCAATCTTCTGATACGATTATTGGTTGCTAGATTATTTAGAAATTTGAATATTCGAATGATGATTAATTTGGTAATTGAAAATTGTTGGGTAATATCACGGATGAAAAAATTTAATAGAAAAACCTATCAAATTCGTTAGAAAATTTTAGTCGAGCAAATTCTACAGAAAATATATGAAAAGAATAAGTTATATAGAAAAATCGAATTCTGTTGACTTTTTCTATTGAATGTTTTCTATTGAACATGTCAAAAGAAACAGCAAAAAACTAATAGGAAGTTTAATAAAAATTCAATAGAATTTTCTAACGAATTCGATAGGTTTTTCTGTTAAATTTTTTCGTGCGTGATTATCAGTCAACATAAACTAAATTTAACTTATTTTGAAATTGATGATTGTTCCGATCCCTGATACAATGAAAAACTGATGTTCAATGAATGAAAGAGAAGACCGTGGACATATCCACATAAAATTACGGCTGTACCAAAGATACAGCCACCCGCAGATTTTCCATGTAGATGAGCCCTCTGAATAATTTCGTCAACTCTACCACTCCAGGTAAACCTCGGAGGATTCGACCCAGACAACCTCCTCCGGGTCGGCAAAGAGGGTCAACTGATCCAAGGCTACGTCGGCTGCCTCCGCGGTCTGATGATCGCGGAATACCTAGTGGACCTCCCGAACCTCGCCAGCGAGGCGAACCACGAGGGCTCCAAGGGGGTCCTCCCCAACTGCCAAATGAAGTGCGACGCCGTTCCCTGCAAGAACCTCGGGATCTGCATCGAGGATTTCGGCAAACAAGAGGCCTCCTGCAACTGCGAGCTGACCTCCTACTTCGGTGAGAACTGCGCCGAGGAGAAGGGTGCGGACTTCGGCGGCGAGAGCCTCCTCCAGAGGGGATTTGAACTCGACGGAGAGGTGAACCAGATCAAGGTCCAGCTGGCCTTCTCTACGAACGATCTCCGTCAGCGAACATCAGCGCTTCTCCTCCTGCAGACAGAGAACCGGAGGAGCTACTACCTGTTGGTGGCCCTGACCTCCGAGGGACAATTGATCTTCGAAGAAGACCGAGAGGGCTCTGCTTATGGGGTCAGAGTCAACGACAGGAACTTCCTGAATGGGGCCAGACACAGTGTGTACTACGTCAGGGACAACAACACGGTGACACTTCTGATCGATCGAGAGCCAGTCCAGCTGCTGCCGATTCCAGTCCTCAGCCTCACTGAGGACGAGGAAGAGGGCGGGGAGGAGGAGGATCCAGCAGCCAGTGAAGAGCCCAGTGTTCAGTTGGGCTGGGTCAACACCTCTGATCATCGGTTCTCTCTGTACAAGGGGTACACTGGATGTCTCAGTAACGTTGTGGTGTCGATCAACGGCGGAACCATGATGAAGCCCTTGGAGGAGTACATGTTGTTTACGAAAAAGGGGAGTGAGACGGTGAGGGCGACGAATCCAGCTGGCGTCAGGAGTGCCCAGTGTTCGTTCTTCCATGTGCAGCCTAGGGGTCTAGAGCCCCCGAGGAATGACAGTGTTGATAATGATAAGAACTGGGACGCAGGGGCGCCTGGGAAAATCCCCTACAAGTCGCTTTATCATGACGAGACTGAGGAGGAGCAGGGGGCTGGGACCTACATTTTCATTGGGCTTTGTTGTATCTTTGTGGCGGCTGTTCTGGGCTGCAGTTATGAGGTCTGGAGGAGTGCGAGGAGGGACAGGAAGAGGAAGCGGAGGGCCAGGGCTGCTGCGGTGGCGGTCAGCGGGTCTCCGGGGGGGTCCCAGAGGTGGCAAGCTGCTGAGGGTAACTCGGCGGGGAAGAGTGTCGGGTTCAAAACTGTGGTGGAGGAGGAGAAGAGGCCCAATGGGACGCACAAGGTCGTCAATGATGTGGGGGAGAAGAAGGTTCATATTAAAGGTAGGGGTCATTGCTGTGGATGAGGTTTGGAGGATGTTAACATGTTAGCATGTTTCTTGAAACAAGTCTAAAGTTTAATTTCAACTTACATACGCTCACCCACAATGATGTTAACATCGCGATTTAACGCGAAATGTGAACTTCGCGATTCACCTTTACCTTGCTAGTTCGACATGCTCTGGATAGGTAGTATGCGAGGATGATGGGGTTATCAGGGTGCAAATCACTGAAGCGAACACTTCCTTTGTATTATGAGGAAATAGTTTAATTATTCGCAACTCAAAATTATACAGTTTCGTGACAATGAAAATTGTTTATGGATTTGCAGATAGATAGATAGATCAATGCTTTTATTGATGTCCTGGGATACAAAAACTCATCTCCTAAGGACAAAGGTAAATTACAAAATTGCGATATTAAAAAGTTTAAATTACAGTGCTACGTGATAATTTTACTCATAACGAGATTGAAGGCGCGCTCTGCGCGTCTGTCAATGTGATTGCTTTTATATGATTTATCACGTTATTATTGTAAGTTGATTTGAATCAATAGGTCATTTCACGTATACAAATTTCTATAGTTTTACTAAAGAGAAATTCATGGGAAATGATGAAAACTTTTGACAATCCATTTGTCCGTTTTTTTCGGGACATTGGTTCAGCTAAAAAATAGAAAAGAAACGTCGAACTGCAACACTGTCGACCCCTCGAGCGACAGTGTTGCTACATTCACTGCCACACTTGAAGTGCGCGCATAGCGGTAAGCGCCAAAGTGGCAACAGCGCGCTCGGTTTAACTCAGCGGCGCTGCGCCAACCATGCGGCGCACGAAGGCTGGTGGTCGCGCACGAGTGATCGGGGGTTAAAAGAAAAATATATTGTTGCGTTTCGAGGAATGATGTACACGGACACGTAATTAATGAATAACAGGGGCAGACAGTTTATTAATTACGAAGACAGAATACAGACTTTGATCTCTTCATGAATCCAGAGAATAGAATGACGATAGATCCAGGTGACAGTCGTAACTCAACAGACTTCACAGACATCCACAGGTGGTTTACAAGTTAGGGATTCGAAGGGGGAAACGCAACAATATACATAACAATGTGAATGCTCTGAATTGATCCCTTGCAATTTTATTTCTTTGCAGAGGAACAACCCGAGAAGAAGGAGCTCCTAGGGGTAAATACAGGCCTCGTCAGTAAACCTGCGAAACCGAATCCATTTGTAATTTTTTTTAAACTACTTTCAAACCAAAAAAACACGGTGCTTGGCGCTTAAACTATCATTCAGCATGTGAAGTGATGCATCGTAAAAAATCAATTTCTCAGATTTTGTTGAATACGTAATCATCAATCCTAGGAGAAATGTGCAAAGATATTTTCTCGTGATAATTTCCCAAGAAATGCAGACTCCCCCCCCCC